GTGACGAGGCTGCTGGCTTCTGCTGGTGTGCAGTGCTGTGCAGTCCTAACAAGACAAGGCTAAAGGACGTGTCCATTGCTGTTGTGCTACCGAATGGGTGCTCTGCGCGGTGGGGGTGGCAGTGCAGTGGTGGTGGTCAGGCTTTCCCCATCCTGTGAGGTTTCCACACCTTGGCTGGGCATGGGCTGTGTCAGAGCTGGCCCTGCTTTGAGCATCTGCCCCATCCTTCGGCCTTTCCAGCACCCTGCTGCCCCAAGTCCAGCCCCCCACACCCTGCCCCGTCCACGGCAGGGGAGCTCTCTAAGGCCACGGCTGCTTGAACGACACTGTGAAACCCTTCCTTCATCTCTTCGTTCTTGAGACTTTTAAGCTCGTGCTTTTCAGTTTCTCTGCACGTCACAAAGGAAACTTGCAGGAAGCTTACCTTAAAACCGAACATGGTAAGCATCAGCTGGGAACTGTAGAGTCATAGAATGGTCTGTGTTGGAAGGGACCTTCAGAGGCCATCTAGCCCAACCCCCCTGCAGTAAGCAGGGACATCTGCAACTGGATCAGGGTGCTCAGAACCCTGTCCAACCTGACCTTGAACATTTCCAGGGATGGGGCATTGGCCACCTCTCTGGACAACCCGTGCCAGGGTTTCACCACCCTCACAGCAAAAAAATTCTTCCTTATATCTAGCCTAAATCTACCCTCCCTTAGTTTAAAGTCATCCCAGCCATCCTTGGTTTAAATCCCCAGAAAATACGCTGCTGAATGGATAACGGTGTTCTGCCTGCAGCAGCGGGTCCATCCACTACCACCCAACTCCGGGGCTCGCCGTCTCGGGTGCAGGGCATCTCCCGGGGCTTGCTCTTGCTGGTTCCTGGCCGTGGCAGCGTCAGTGGGAATCGTTCTTCCCCGCTCCCCAACCACACCTCTGCTGCTGGGGGTGGCGGTGGGCTCTGAGCCCTCTGGGGCTGCAGCTGCATGAAGCATCGTGGCGGCGTGCAGTCCGATCTGCCGTGAGAGGTGGGCAGAATCCCTTGGGTTGGTGCCTTTGTGTCTCAGTGATGTGTGAATTATTGGTGGGGAGGGGATGCCGTTTCACGTGAAGGAGGGATGGGTCCAACCGCCGACCCTTCCCCGCGGCGCGGGCGGGCGCCG